GAGTATTTTTATCCTCTTTCTGAGGCTAAGAGCGTACTTTTACCCAGCCTGCAGGTAGTGTGGTCTAAATTTTCTCAAGTGGACCCTTCCTGGAGCTGCTTAGTAGCTGGACTTAACCGACTTGCCTTTGAAGCTGAGCCTGAGCAGCAAAGAAAGATGGAGAGGTGAGTGGGTGGAGGGATAGGCAGAGGGTAGGTGATAGAGAGATAGGTAGAGTTGATGGCAATAGAGTCATCGATGGAATGATATTTGAGTTCCTAGTTATATAAATGATGTTTGAGTTCCTTTGTATATAAATGCAGAGTGAGATGATAGACCGATATAGAGAGGGTGAGATAGATGGATAGAAGGTAGAGGGAAGGTAGAAAGAAGTTGGATAGATGAGTGGATACATGGGTGGAGACATAGATGGGTGTGTTATAGAGAGAGACTCAGAGTCTCAAGTTCTGGGAAGAGTGCCACTATGGTTCACTGTAGAGAAGTAGAATTAGTAGTTTCAGAGCATTTCTGTGAATCTGCAGCCATAGATATTCAACCAGTAGACACAATGTGGACTCTGGAAAGCACTGGACCTGATGCCAGATGACCTCAGAGAAGCTCCCATGAGTGCAGTGCTTCATCGCACAATCTAGACAGGGACCAGGCCAGGGAGGGATGGACACCCTGGCTCTCACCAGGGTCCTCCAGGGGAGAGCAGCAGTGGCTAGGATCAGCAGAGACCTCAGCATATAGGGGTCTGTCATCAGCCTCAGCTCCCTGTCTCAAGAGGCTGTGCACCAGAATGTGTGCAACAGAAAGCAGATCCCTCTGTTCCAAGTTTGATTCTCTCTAGCCACTGCAGAAGCAGTGGGAGCTGCTGACAGAAGCAGTGGCACTTTGCTTCATCATGGCACACAACCCTTATAAAAGGGGCAAAACTGCTGGAGTTTATGTTTCTGTGGGCAGCCCCTCCTCAGCACAAGCTATGTTTTAACGCTGGAGTCCCCCCATCCTTAACACTGGGTGTGAAGCTGCAGGCAGAGACATGCAGTAGTGAGGACAGAATTGGGTCCCCTACCTCGCCACCCCATGGCACACAGCTCCCCCTGGGGCTAAAGAGGCAATAGATAGTTGGGGTTAGCTCTAGCACTGTGGATCCCTGTAGATGCAGGCAGGAGAGAGGCCTTCCCAGGGCAATGTAGGGGCCTCTCAGCAGAGCCCAACCTGCAGTGCTGCCTCAGGTCCCCAATTTACATTGTTACACCAGGCCCTGCTGCAGAGTCTCTGCATGATGCAGAGACTTTTGCCCCACTGAGGACAGCTCTGACCATGGCTCCTGTATTCCTATAAGGCTGTATCTGTGCAGATGTTGAGTTTTCCTTCTATATTTAGTGTCTGGGTCATACAATGTGCCAGTTAGGAGGGAGCTAACTAAACCAATATTGTTCAGTCAACACATCACATAATTTTTGTACCTCAAAATCAAGATTGGGCACATTAGTCCTAAAGGGGTCCAGTTGGTCACTTAGAATTGAAAATGTTCCACTCAGGCAGGTCAGGTCAGGAACCCTGGAAGGGCATTTAATGAAGGACAGGGGCCACTTTATCATAATCTGTTTCCATCCTCTAAAGATGGCAAAAGAAGGACCAGCCACAGTCAGCCTCTTAGGAAAGAAGAGCTAAAACTGAAGAGCTTCTCTACAGAGTCTGGCCCACAACATCCACCTCCAGCCCTGCCTCTGACAAGGCTTGAGAGGAACACCAAAGGCACTGGGCCTGGGGTCCCAGAGAGTAATTGTTGATGCTGTGGGCCAGCTACTCAAAGAGGTGTCAACACTGTGTCCCTGTCACCAGATTCTGATGATGGGTGTGACTGGCACTCTACTGCTGCCTTCCCACACTGTTGGAAGCGTACCTGGTACACTGTCTGGTCACATGAATGAGCTGTCCACTGTTTCGGGTGGTTTGGCCCTTTTGCCTCTGTTGCTGTCTGGTCCACTGCCCAGTGCTGTCCAGATTGGTCTTCACACTCTTGCTCTGGGCTGCTATGGTGTCATCTAAGTGGCCCACCCGTGAGCACCTGTAGCTGCCACTGAGAGTTGGATCGTGGGCCACTATTTGCCAGCTGCCACACTCACTCTCTAGGCCTTGTTGGTGTGGACACCATCTGGGATGAACAGCCCTTTGTTTGGGACTACAGGACATTTTCTGAGAGGTAAGATAGCCAGTAACTGTTTGCCTTTCAAATGTTTTTTTTGCCCTGTTAAGTTAAATCAAGCCCATTGTTGTTTCATGAGCCTGAGTACATATGTGACAACTCATAGTCTGTGACCTGTCCTTCACAGTGCCACAGTCCTTTGTTTCACCACAGCCTTGCTATATCACTGTCGTAAAACCTGCATTTTCTGAACTAAAGGGAAAAACGTGATTTCATTTTAATGATTGAGTTTATTTCAATCAAGTGCAATAGCTTCCCATGTTATGATGACTTGATTCACCGGGTATCATTTTGTCCAGAGGTGACATGGCACAGAGTGCTGACCACTCATCAATAGCATGGAACAGGAATGGCCGGGAGTGCCAGTCAACTTGGTCACCAGGAAGAGGTGTCAGACACCCCTCAAGAAGCCACCCACTCCATTCTCAATTTAGACCAATTTTTAAAATAATTTTTGTAATAATTTTAATTATGTAGACATATTTTCATCATATTTATAGAATTATGATGTCTATACCATAACTTTTCATCATCCCCAGGAAGGAACCTCATTCCTATCACTGTTGCTCTGTATAGCCCCATACAAACTCTAGTTCCTAGTAGCCTTTCCTGTAAGCTAGTGCTACATCAACAACTCAACCACCTACCATATTTTCTACCCCACAGCCTTAACAAACACTTATTTTTATTTTTTCTGAGAAAAATAAAATGCCTAGAAAAATACCTAGCACTTGCTGAATCAGCACTCGCTAAGTGAGTGGTAGAAACCAAAATGCAAAGTAAGTTGACATTGAATAGTATCGTGGGCCAGCTTTGGCAAAATGTGTCAGGGGTTCCTGAAAGGATGAGATAGTGTTGGCGAAAACTTAATGGCTATGGGGAAGGGGATGAGATAGTGAGGAGACACTGCACTGGATGAGCTGCCAGTATCTTCTACTGAGGGGCTCAGCAGGTCTTTATTTATACTTTTTAAGCACGCCATGAGATTACATCATCATATGCATAGAAACAAAGCAGAAACAGCCAGTGCATCCCTTTTTCCACAGATTTTTGGCAACTACGTGCTCTCCGTAAGAAGGCAACCTACAAGGTTATTAAAAAACTAAGCCTTACACTAAAACTCATTGTTTCAGCTACACAATAACCTAAGAGAGTGGCTAGCCGCCAGTACATCCCTATCAGCCAAAGCCTCAGCAAGAAATGACTTTTCTTACTCGCATGGCCATCAGCCGGGTACCGGCTGCTACTCAGCTATCAGAACTTTTTCTACCTAGATGCTCCTTACTCAAATAGCTTCATTTAAAAACTTTCCCAAGAAACTTCAAAAGAAGGCAAAAGATGGACCCACTACAACTGTTGTGCTGGGATGCTTGTCAGCCATGTTCAATAAATTGTCTCCCATTGTCAAGTGGGCCAAATTGTTTAATAACTAATTGCTAAACAGATAATTTTCCATGCCATTTACTTACAGTCTGCTGATACATATTATTTATTGCCTAATACACTTTCTGATATTTTTTTCTCTTTTTATGACCAAGAACAAAAAACAAAGGGATGTTAGATCTTCAGCCCCACAGTGTGAGGCCCTTTAGCTTCGGCCCCCCGGTGTAAGGCCCTTTTACTTAGCTGCTTGCCAGTGTCTTATCTAGCTGGGGTATCAAGACCCCCTGCAGCAGAATAGCAAGCTATACTCTTGCCCCAGGGCAGGCTATTAATTGGATATGTTCTTCCTCCCTTGGAGAGTTCTTGTCATAAACTGCTTTATATCTAAATTCTCTATCTATGTGGAGTTCTATATGCCGCTACCCAAGACCCCTGACCCACAATCACATCATTAGCTTTTTCTGTAAAATTTGCTAAATACTGTGCTTGTCTTTGAATTTTTCTGTTTCCATTGAGATGTGACTTTTAGGTCCTCCCTGGTGGTGCAAGGGTCTAAGACACAATCTATGAAGCTATTTGCGGCCAGTGCAGTTCAAGGTCAATCCCTGGCCAGAGAACTACCCACATGGCACTGCAGACCTCTCCTGTCTCATCTGCTGCTCCCCTCTGCAGTATATTGCAGTCAATCTGCCTGTTCTGTTCCCCAGTCTCTCTGGCGAATCCCCTCATCACCCACACCTCTGGCCTGTACCCAGCTCTTGTCTGAATATGTAAATATATATTTAAAAAGATGTGAGTTTGTTGTCTATAACTAATGACATCACTTACAGTTTTAGCCATGTTATTCTATATTGATTACTTCTGTGAGTAAACAATTATTGATTGAGTGGAAGCTTGGATTTTTTTTTTTTTTTTTTACTTTTGGGGAATAGAAAGCTCATTAGTAGAACAGAGGCACAGAACATGAATGTGTATAAATGTCAAAACAGCATCATCTAAGACTGGGACCAAAGTGACCCTTAAGCTCAACCCATCTTTGGGGTAAGTCTTAGACACATCTCCCTCCCCCTCTTTCCCCATCTACATTTAACTGTGTTGATTAAAATAGTTTATTGAGCTGTGTTAATGTACTCACACACACACACACACACACACACACGCACACACACACATATATATATATAAATAAATATATAAATACATATATATAAATACATATATATGTGTATATATAGTATGTGTGTGTGTGTGTGTGTGTGTGTGTGTGTGTATATATATATATATATATATATATATATATATATATATATATATATATTTACTTTGCCACAAAGTAAACTTTGACATCCTCCCCAGGTCTTTGGTTCTTGTAGGGATTTTGGAAGTAAGCTCCATCTAAATCACATCTACTTGTAGGGAAATGAACCAGCAAGGTAGTGTGATTTGTTCACACAGGGGTCTGCAATAGAGACAGACAAATTATCCCAATTAGTTGGTAATTAGACGTCAAATTACTAATTAACTCATTTTGAACATAATTCCCTTATTGAAAAACAATCATTCATATTCATATGGAGTTATCTCTGGGATAAATCAGTTCAGTTCTGCTCCTTGGTCTGAGTTTGTTTTGATTACTGTTACTTTGTAGTAGCGTATGATGTCAAGAAGTGTGAGATCTCACATCTTCTTCTTTTCTCTCAAGATTATTTTAATTATGGGGACTCCCCTGGTGGCACAGGTGCTTGAGCGCCACGCTGTGAAGCTGTCCACAGTCTCTGCAGTGTTTATTAGATCCCGGCCAGCTGGAGAGGGTCCCGGATGTCGACACAGACCTCTCAACGCCCGCTGAGCCTTTCAGCAGTGTATTTCATCAGTCTTCCTGTACTTTACCCTGCTCTGTCTCTTGTGAATTATCTCACTCTCCCGCGCATCTGGCCTATACCCCAGTTCTTGTATAAAATAAGTAAATTTTTTTTTAAAGTTAAGATTATTTTATTATTTAGGACTATTTGTGATTTCACATAAATTTGATAAGCGTTTGAGCGCTGGGTAGCGAAGCTGCCCGTGGCCTCTGCGGCACCGGTTCGATCCCTGGCTGCTCCCTGGCCACTAGAGGAAGGACCCGCATGAGACCGCTCCTGCCACCCTCTGCTCCCCTCAGCAGTGTACTTCGGTCCTTCTGCCTGCTCTGCTCCCACCTCTGGCTCTGTTGATT